GATCTCCTAAACATAACATGACCAACATTACAAAATTGCAAAATTGTTAAAAATAGATTAGCTTATTAAACATTAAATAGTAGTTAATACAAACAAACATTAAATCACAATTAGAACAATACAATAATAACATGTAAAAAATAATAAACAGTAACATTTTACAAATTAGTTTTTGGTTACCTTTGAGTGATTGGTGTTATTCAATAATGAATTTAAAGTTAATTCTACATATTGTATATCCATTAGTATTCAATGATTGATTGTAATTTCTATATTAAAATACATTTTAAGTATCTCAATTAAGTGATTTTAAAATTTAATGTTATTGGTTATTAGATTTATAATTTCTTCACTAAAAGAATTTAAAACTCGTTGTTATTCAATCAAAGATTATACAACAACTAAAATCTAGTACTATTCATGTTTGATAGATTTGAAAGTTGTTAGAATAGATTTAAATCTAGTTTCATGTGTAAATTGTACTAATCAAAAATCTAGTCTTTTGCCCCAAGATTTTAGAATCATATCTTATTAATAAGAAAACCAACGAGTACTATTTTAGGTTTATAGCTGTCATCACTTTTACAGTAAAAGTCATTGTTACCAAACCCATCTTTTCTTTAACCAAGCAATTCTTTTGTTTTACCAAATTATCAAATTTAACATTGTACAATAGTATATACAATAGTGGGTATCGAAACACAAATCTAATTTGACCCAGAAAAAAATTAATCTAAAGGCCATACAAAAATATTATAAAAACTTTAAAAATAAATGGTGGACGGGTCTATTGTATCTGAAATTTTAAGTGATTTGATTTTTAATAAATTTTGTAGATGGTTGTAGGAGAATTAAAAAATTTGGTGTGATTTTATTAAAATACTCTAGAATCTTATCTAAAATTATAGGGTTTGGATTTTTATTTATATAATTGAGAAACTCCTCACAAGCACTCTGAAAACACTTAAACCACTCTAAAATCTCTTAACTTAAATTTTGTTCAATAACAGTATATTTCAGAATGTTTTATAAAATTACAAGTTCAATAATATTAAATTTTGAAGTGTTTTTTAAATTCTTGTTTGAGTAACAGTGATTTTATCATTTTAATATAAACCACTTCAAATTGCTAGTTGAATACACCCCTTAATCATCCGTTATTGAGTTAGTGTTGAAATCAAATGACCTATGTTGAATTTATAAATAAAATGATGCAGATTAAGAAATTAGATTCTAAATGAATAGTGAATCAATTTGAAATGACCAAAAACAATTAAAATCTTATAGGTTTTAAATCTAATGGAGTTGACATCAATTTATACAACCAATAACACCCCCAATAAGTACAGTTATAAATTAAGGAGTATATATGATTGGTATAAGTTACACAAAACAAATTATATTTCTTTTCTTTATATAGTGGCATTACAAAATAAAAAGTTGTCTGGAACATACAACCAATGATGAATTATTTAGAAAATTTAACTATTTAAAACATCTACAAAAGACACTGTATAACTTCAAATATGAAGTTTTTGACTTTCCAAAAAGAGAATTCTAAAACTTCAAATTTGAAGTTTTGAGTAGTGAAACTTCAAATATAGAGTGTCACTATTCAAAACTTCAAATTTGAATTTTCATATTTTATTTGCATTTCGGTCTTTACAATTACAAATCATACTTATAATTTTTAACTATTTTATTGCTTATCTTTTTGGGAAATTTGCCAAAAGAGCACCAAAAAACACAACTATTGTCCCCTTAGAATAAAATCAAATTTTGGCACTTTTGGACATTCACTACCATTTTTGTATATAAAAATTCATAGAAATAAATTTACAAGGTAAAAAATTGAGGAAAATATACAATATGAAATAGAGTATCATGTGAATATATGAAAATTATTTTTTTTTTCGAAAAATGTTTGGAATAGTAATTTCAAAAATTGGATGAATAGGGTAGTAAATCAGATCTACCATCTACGGTTGTTTAGAGTGTACAATCTACTAACAACTAATCGATCTAAAGGGTTTAGAATGCGTAATACACCAAAAACATATACATCTACTATTGAAGAATATGATAACTGTCATTCCTTCTTTGTTCTGGAGTTTTACTAGAACATAACATATACTAAAGATCGACGCGTCTACCTTGGCAGAACATATCTTCTTAATTATACTGTTTTATCTGAGCCTGTGGGATTACGTATCTACTGGTTAAACTAATGGGAAATTGGTAGAATGTATCTTCTACCAACGGTTTTTTGAGCCACCATCCGAAAATCTAACAAAATCTAAAAGTAAATATTCTCTAAATATTTTTATTTCCTTTTTTAATATATTTTGCCTTAAACATGGGTCTTCTTCTTCTTCTCACCGTGACAAAACCTTTTCTGTTCTTCTAGTTCTTCCACTTCTAAGCTAATCTATCTAACAATGAAGATGCACATGTATCATTTTGTTTTGTTTTTTTTTGTGCTTTCATATTTAGTCAAACCAAAACAATACATGTATGATAGACTTGTTGGTGACTAGCTTGTAAACGTTACCAATGTTGATTAAGGTTAACAAGCAAATTCGCTGCAATCTAACATCAATTACAAGAGGTTTGAGAAGACCCATACAAACATTGACCCATTACAACTATTAAATTAAACTCAGCCCAACGTAATAGATGTGATCAAATTCTGAACAGAACACGTAGTATCTTATCCTACACATGTCCACATTAGGCTTCCAATGCGTTGAGCACTGAGTAATGGATTGCTGGTAACCGGAAAGATCAGCCGCCGGTATGGACGAACATCAATCAAGACGATTCATAGTCTCCCAGCTCCATCTTCAGCATCAACAAACCCACTTGCAAGCTTCATCCTCCTGTTTAACCATTAAAACTACCATATTCCATCAACCCAATTGCTGGACATAATAAGCACATCAGAACTTTAGAGGATTTAGTAACAGATCCTTTGTTGAAACGTTTTCATATAGAGAAAACTTCAACTCTGCTTGAATCTGCACAAAATCCCTATAGAAATGAAAAACTCAATTCAACCATCCTTTAAAGATACTTTGCCTAATTCAAAAGAAGCAAAGATTGACTCTTGTCAGAAAGGAAGATCGAGAGTTTGTGGAGAGAAGAACCCATAGTTTCAGAGGGGATACAAGATAAAACAGAGGAGGAGAAGATATAACACTTAATTTACTTAACCCCAATCAAAGAAGAAAACTTGATGCTCTGAACCTATTTGATTGAGATTGATATAAAAACAAAACTCGCCAAAACAAAAGGGAAAATCCGACTGGCGGAACAAAAGACGATCTTATAAATCCAAAATATATTACAGCAAAACAATCAAAAACCCTCTGAAAGATCAAAGTTTGTTAAAAGAGCTAGAGTTCGAGAGAAGATTCTCTCTCCAGAGTAAAGAGAGAGAAATTAACATTTTACTACTTTTCCTTATAATAAAATTTTAACTGTATTTTTAAAAGTTAATTAAGAAGGACTAAACTGGATTTTCATTAATATTTATATTATAGGGACAATGATTTTGGTTTTAATTCTAAGAGGACAATAATATGATTTTTTGTCCATTTTTGGCAATTTTCCCTATCTTTTTTAATTCTTACAAAGTTTTATCTCATAAATATTTCAATTTTTTTTATAAATTTAAATTTTACATATTGTTTTTTTTAAACGTCAAGATAAGATTTAAAATATTTTAAAGCTAGAACTATACAATAACAATATTACAAGACCTAGTGTGATATTTTGTTTGTAGTTTAATATTTAATTATATGTTTCGGTTTATACTTTTATATTTTAGTGTATCATTTTATCAGTTAATATTGCTGTAATATTTATATATATATATATATATATATATATATATATATATATATATATATATATATATATATATATATATAGAAGTTCTATGAGTTCGAATTAGTTATGATAAATATAAAAACCATAGTATAAAATACAAATAGTTTTGAAGTCAAGTTTGAAAATTTGCTTTTGAATATAACAAATTTAAACTTCAAATATAGAGTTTTGTAAACTTTAAAATAAAAAATCTTTTTTTTAAGATGCTCTTATATCAAAAAAAAGTCTATCGTTTGTGCTATTTTAAAGGCGAAAAAATAGTGGAAACGTTTTCATAAACGGACCATAGCCTATGGCCCATAAGTTTGGTAATTAACGGGAAAAGAACAAAACGTGTTCAATCATTATGTGCAATGCCAAATAAAATTTCTAGAAAACATGCATAATTCACCATATGACGTATGTATATATTGATAAAAAATAATCTCCATCCGTTTTTAAATAGAAAATATTTTAGGATTGTATATATAGATTAAATAAATATGTAATTTATGATATTATATTATTCAATCATTAATAATATTCATTAGATTCACTAATAACATTTATTGGGCTTACTAGAAATTTTTATTGGGCTAATAAAAATTAGATGATCCATTGGATTTATAGATATTATAATAAAATACATGTTTAAATTAAATTTATATAATTTAATATTATAATAGTATAAGTTAATATTTATATATTTTTGATGTTAACTTTAAAATTATATAGTTTATTTTTAAAAATAACAAAATCATCATTTTCTTACATAATTAATCTATACTATATAATAATTAATCATCATTTTCGATATACACATCTTATATAATAATATATACCAATTTAAAAGTAAAAAAGATGTTTATATAAAAATAAATGAAAACAAATATCCGCGCGGTTGCGCGGGTTGAGATCTAGTCAGGTATTAAAGAAACAGAAGAAGTATAACTGAAGAAATTTAAATTAAATTTTATATTTAAGAAAAATCTCACATCCTCATCATGAGCATTCTAATCCAAGTCCATTCAAGGTAAAAAAGTCAACATAATTGACTACATGGGAAGGAAGGTAATACTTTATGACCACACTTCTCCTTATATGGGAACCGGACCTCACTCTGACACAACAAACCACACACTCTCTATCTCTCTCTTTTCTTTTATTTCTCTCTGTAGCTTTCCAGAAATTCTGTCTTACACTGCATGTGTTTATGATGGTAGTTGAAGGAGAAAGAAGTATGGAGGAAGGTCTTCTCAAGCTGCAGAACCAAAACGACGCTTCAGACTGTCGTATTACTTCCTGTGTTATACTCAGCACTTTCGTCGCCATCTGTGGTTCCTTCTCTTTTGGTGTTGCCGTGAGTTCTCTTCCCCATCATCTTACTTCGCCTTTTTCTACAAACTTATATATTTTACCAAACAAGTATACCATATCAGTAATACTACTTTAACAAAAAATTAAAATAATCAGTAATATTATGCTGAAGCAAAATTAAAAGATTAACAGTACTATTTGTGGAATCAAAATTAAACTAATAAAAAGTAACTTTAAAGGCTTCCCCGGTAAGGTTCGAAATAATTTTTTTTGTACCTTTTTGAAAACGATCGAACTAATTATCTTACTGTTGGAACTCAAATAAAATAATATATGATATATTAGTTACGTGCTATGATTCTATCTTTATTTCCTTGCGTCTGTTTTTTGCGTTTTGCAGACTGGTTATACTTCAGGTGCTGAGATAGGAATTATGAAAGACATGGGCCTTTCTATCGCAGAAGTAATGCCTCTCTTTTATTCTATTTTAATAAGAAAATATTAAGATTAAATTAATCATAAACTACTAATTAGCCGCAGTGGTTGAGTGACACACTGACATATCCATTCTAGATTCTTAGATATATAAGTACAATTGGATCATGAGTATGTCACATCTACTTTTAATTAACCCCGCCCCGTGTTATTTACTTCGCTATTCATTCTCACTGAAATAGCTAACCATTGATTCAAATGAAAAACAATATTTTTTCTATTAAGAAATTGAAGAAAAATATATATTGCCGTTATCCAAATAATGGAGTTTATTACGTGTGGTTCACTTCCATTTTTAAGTTTTATAAAAAAATTGTAATCGTAATATGATAACCCAGACGAAAAGTAGATTACATATGATTTCTTGTACAATATATAAATATACAGAGACATGCGTATATGTGTACTTATCGAAATCTTGGACACTAATATATACTCTATCCTCTTCGATATTAGACGTTTTAAATATGCTGAAATGCCTTTACTTTCTTTCTCAAAAAATGTCTTTACTTCATATTATTACATATATGAAAAACTGACATTCATGAGCAAAAAAAAAATTTAACAAAAAAATTTGGACTATTTTTTGATTCGTGCATGTCATCTGATATCCGGTATAATTGGAATGGTATAAAGAAGATTAACATGGTCCTGAATGGATAACAAAACATTTTCTTTTTGTAAAACATCAATCATTCATTTTTTTTTGGTTTTATTACTGTTCAATCAATCATTTCTTTCTCTCTCATGTCTTTATGTTTTTCATTTATTTAAATGATGAATATGAATACTTAATATGTATTAGTTTTCTAATTTTAGTAACCAATATCACACTAAAACAAAAGCTATTCATCAACTTATGAAGTGGATCTTTGGATTAATTTGGAAAGTTTCAGTTTTCAGCATTTGGCTCATTCTCCACGTTGGGAGCTGCAGTCGGTGCGCTGTTCAGCGGTAAAATGGCGATCATGCTAGGAAGAAGAGGAGTAAAGAATTTTACCCTTTCATAATCTTACACTTTTATGTCTAGTAGAATTTGATATTCACATTTACCCATTTAAGAAAGAAAACATACATCTTCTTTTCCAACTAGAAATCTATTTATTTTTGTCCCAACTATAACATTTTACTGTTTTTCATGATTTAAAGACAATGTGGGTGTCCAATATCCTCTGCATCACTGGTTGGCTGTCCATCGCTTTCGCTAAGGTATTATAAGATTTATAACCACAAACATTTATATGTCTGTGGTGTGACATCATTATTTCTTACAAATAATCAAACAGTTTTTTCTAATGGTTAAATAAATCCAACAATTAAATAGTTTTTTGTATGCATGTCTGGAACATAAAAGGATGTGTTGTGGCTGGACTTTGGAAGAATCTCATCAGGAATGGGAATCGGCTTGATTAGCTATGTGGTAATTAACTTGTTAACTACTTACTGATAATTTGATACTTTATATATATTTCAAAATTTCAAATCCTCTTAACAAATTTCCTTGCTGTTTATTTATTACGTATATACATTACTTAAATTTTTAAACTACTTATATTATACATGGAGCAGGTACCTGTCTACATAGCAGAAATTACGCCAAAACATGTTCGAGGCACATTTACCTTTTCAAACCAGGTAAAATTTTTCTTCTTCCCAAACCGTGAATACTTTAGCGATAGAAAATATATAATGAAAGCCGACAAATAAAAGAAAAGCATTTTATAACGTTACTCACCGATATGAGCAAACGACGATAAAACTAGCAAAAATAAAATCATTTAAATCAGTTGTGGTTTTATGGGGATATATATGCGCTCTCTAAAGAATACAAGCTAAGTCAAAGTATTTCTCGTTATATATATGTATAGTATAGAAGTTCAATCATTTAAAACTACTAACGAGTTGTTAACTGAAACATGAACATATACGCTACCTCAACCCAAATCTAACGAAATTGTTTGACTTTCATTTTTTATTGATATGATCCTACATTAGTCTGACCCAGCTATTTTTCTGTGCACAATTTTTTTTTTCTGTGCACAAATTTCATTAATCAAGCATATATTAATATATACAAACATAATATAAATACAACCAATATATATATATATTTGCTTGGATAATCGGAAGTGTCAATTGTAAATCATAATAAAATTCAGAGCTTGAAGAAAATTTAGCTTTATCGGGAGTGTATTTTTTTTTTTTTGAGAAAGGGCTTATAGGGAGTGTATTGACCCTTTAAAATTATCGTCTGGCTAATTATTAGCTTCTTCAAAACGCTGGAATCGCCATGGTTTATTTTTGCGGGAATTTCTTGAATTGGAGGATGATGGCTTTACTAGGTAAAATCAGTTATTATTTCATCACATAATCAACGTGGTGGTGATGTTCAAATTAACTGATTACAACATTCCCGGTTTAGGTGCTTTACCATGCGTCATTCAAGCAGTCGGTTTATTTTTTGTACCAGAGTCCCCAAGATGGCTGGTTGGTTAAATTTTATATTTCTTAACAAAACCCGTTATCTAATCTACGAATCATGATAAGAAATGTATGAACCATAGTTAAACTATTCAATTTTTGGAAGGCAAAAGTTGGTACGGATAAAGAACTAGAAAACTCACTGCTTCGGCTTAGGGGGAGAGATGCTGATATTTCACGTGAAGTTTCGGAGATTCAAGTGAGTTTTACAATGTTATTGTATCATAGGTTTTAATGTATACTGATTCATTGACATAAAGATAATGTGGAGCCTGAATGATTTCTATTTTGTTTTCAGCTTATGACCAAAATGATAGATAGTGATTCAAAGTCAAGTTTCGGTGATTTAATTCAAAGAAAGTATAGACATACTCTTGTGGTACGTGCTATATATGTTGTAAAAATAATTAAATTTATTTCGGACTAGTTTTTATATTTTTCTGAACAAGCATTTTTATTACTCAGGTAGGAATAGGGCTAATGTTGATACAACAGTTCTCAGGAAGTGCGGCTGTAATCTATTATGCAAGTACCATTTTTAGAAAAGCTGGTAAGATTATGTTTTTATATATACACAAGCAGTAACATTCGGTCTATTTGTATTTGCATAGAAATTTTAATCTCAAGAGATTCTGTTTTTTTCTAAACAAAAATCAATTCTTATGTATTTTGCATGATGATTAAGTTAACGTTTAGTTTAATTTGCTTTAACAATTGGTTTGAAACAGGTTTTTCGGTGGCCATTGGATCGACAATTTTAGGCCTCTTCATGGTAAATATATACATTTTGTTTTCAAATTCTTTGTGGACTACACTGATACCACGCTTTATGAAATAATTCTTTTCCACTCGTTGCTATTCAACTACTAAATTATTAAGATGTTTGTGATTTATCCATTTTTGGGTTAAACTTTCAAAAAATACAATGATTTTTTTTATAAACTAAGAATTTCCCTTCATATTATAAGTATATTATTAAAATTCCATTTGTTTATACTCTTCTAAGCATTGAATGTTATTTGTGGCTATTCGTAGATACCAAAAGCCATGATTGGTCTAATTCTTGTAGATAAATGGGGCAGACGGCCCCTCTTGTTGGTGAGCACGTTTTTCAGGATTAAATTACTCTAGTTACACCATAATTTAGCAGTAGATAAAAATTATAACGTTTTCTGATATTTGTTACAATTCGAACATATAGACTTCCGCGTTTGGGATGAGTATAACTTGCATGCTTCTTGGGCTCGCCTTCGCATTACAGGTTATTTTACGTTTTTACATACGTTTCTTTTTTCATACATTCAATTTGAAGTGCTTTTCTGTATGTTTGGTATGACAGAAAATGCAATTACTTCCGGAACTTACTCCAGTATTCACGTTTATATGCGTTACGGTAAAACATTCGCTCTACTCTTACACCGTCCTATACGAATAAAACGTAGTAATTAAATATATTTGATGTTCTTTATTGGCAGCTGTATGTTGCAACTTATGCCATAGGCGTGGGAGGCCTTCCTTGGGTAATTATGTCTGAGGTATAAACTTTTGTTTCCAAAGTTATACATTTTTGTAAATAAATTTAAGTAATTACTGACGTTTGTGTATATGCAGATATTTCCAATGAATATAAAAGTAACAGCAGGGAGTTTAGTTACGTTAGCCTCATGGTCAAGTAGTTCCATCGTCACTTACGCTTTCAACTTTCTATTCGAATGGAGCACTCAAGGTATCTAGAACTTGTTCAATAATTAATAAAGTAAAATACTAATTAGTTATATATATGTTTGAATTAATACATTGAACTTGTTGATTTACCAACTACATTAAAATTTTAAGAAGTTTATTTTTGTATATATATATATATATAGTAATAAGTTTACTGGTTTATATATCTATTTTAATAGGAACATTTTACATATTCGGGGCAATCGGGGGAGGAGCGTTTCTTTTTATTTGGTTGCTCGTCCCGGAAACGAAAGGATTATCACTTGAAGAAATACAAATTTCGCTTACTGGTCAGTCAGACGAGATAAGTCATATGTAGATTGAAATGTTTATATGTTATTTAAGATTATTAAATTCAAATTATGATGCTATTCTCATCGACAAAGCGAAACTTATCCTTTTTCATTCTGTGATTACTACTTATGTTTTCCTAATACTTAATTAGCCATTTTCATGTACTTTACCATGATTGTAAAGACGCATATGTTCATTGCATATATGTATTCTATTTTAAGATAAGTTAGTGTAAAATGTATCAGTCTACATTATTTACATATCAAAATTTAGAGAAGATACTGAGACACCTTATATAAACCAGAGTATTTATTTATGCCGTGTGGAATAATCGTTAACCCGATTTTCGACAATGACAACCCTATATATAGAGATACGGAATATATTTAGAGATAATGTTAAACTTCCATATTGTGATGATCGTATATACGTAGTAATATGGAAACAATATGTTGTATATATATGTGGCCATGAGCCTTAATACAAGTGACGCTTTCATATTATTTTATGGTATCAGAGCAGAAAACGATCTTTTGACCTAAATTCTCAAAATTTTTGCTTCCGCATAAAGTTTTCTTCTACGCCGTGCTTGTCAAGATTTAAACATGGCTACTACCTCTTCTACGTCATCAGCTACTTCTCCATCTTCTACTTCTACAATCTCTACTACTATGGGTGTTTCATCAAACCCATATGCTCTTCACCACTTCGACAATCCTGGCGCGCTAATTACGCCGGTTATCCTCAAAGGCGACAACTATTCTGAATGGGCAATCGAGTTCTAGAACTCACTTCAGGCTAAACAAAAGATTGGGTTTATCGATGGTACTATACCTAAACCCTCGACAAATCCTGATCTCGCCCTATGGACCTCTGCTAACTCAATGATCGTGGGATGGATGCGCACGTCAATTGATCCACCTGTTCGATCTACGGTAAGTTACGTTCCAGACGCTCATCAACTCTGGGAATCTCTCAAGCGTCGATTCTCGGTGAAGAACAGCGTGCGTAAGCACCTACTTGAGGATGAAATCACCAATTGCAAACAAAACGGTGAAACTGTTCTTAGCTACTTCGGTCGTCTTTCGAAATTGTGGGAAGAACTACAGAACTTCAAATCACTATACTCCTGCACGTGTGAGGCGTCAACTCATCTTGAAAAAGAACGAGAAGATGCCAAAGTCCACAAATTCTTGTTCGGTCTTGACGATTCCAGGTTTAGTGCTATTCGATCGCAAATAATCGATGAACCACTGCCTGATCTTAATCTCGCGTACTCTCGAGTCATACGGGCTGAGCAACACATCCTTACTATGCGCACAACTGAGCTTAAGCAAGATGTTCTCGGGTTCGCGGTCAAGACAGAGCCCTCTGCAGCCGCACCTCGCAGCCGTGATCCTAACCACTTTTGCACTCACTGCAACCGCAAAGGTCATGAAGCTTCTGAATGCTTCTTGTTACATGGGTATCCAGACTGGTTCAACGAACAGCAGAAGAACACGTCGCCTTCTGGTAAACCCTCCTCCACTGATGTTATAATCGATACAGGAGCGTCTCATCATATGACTGGAGACTTATCATTACTACATGACGTGAGGGACATTGTCTCTTCCACGGTTACGTTTCCTGATGGTCGCAACTCTCGATCTACAAAGTCCGGAACCTTGTATCTCAACTCGTCGTGTTTCCTGCAAGACGTGTTATATGTTCCCGATTTTAACTGCACCCTTATATCAGTTTCAAAACTCTTAAAGCAAACGGGTTGTATTGCGATCTTTACTGATACTCTATGTGTTTTACAGGACCGTTTTACGAGGACCCTGATTGGAGCCGGTGAAGAGAGAGAGGGTGTGTATTACTTCACGGGTGTCACAGTGGCACGGGCTAATCGAGCTGGAAAGGAAAAAGCTTCTTCTTCAGAACTTTGGCATCGTCGACTAGGACATCCTGCTCACAATGTGTTATCTACTTTACCTATTATCGAGAATGTTTCTTTGGATTTTGATCACACCAAGTCGTGTGACGTGTGCTTTCTATCCAAACAGACACGTGAAGTTTTTAATGAGAGTATTAATAAAGCTATTGAACCATTTGCTCTAGTTCATTGTGATGTGTGGGGTCCCTACCGCACTCCATCCTCTTGTGGAGCAGTCTATTTTCTCACTATTGTTGACGATTATTCTCGAGCTGTTTGGCTCCACCTTATGCTTGAGAAATCAGAAGTCCCTACATTACTACAAAATTTTTGCGCAATGGCAGTTCGTCAATTTGGATTCCAGGTTAAAACATTCCGTACGGACAACGGAACTGAGTTTATGAAACTCAAACCATTCCTTCGTAAAGAAGGTATCTTGCATCAGACATCATCCGTAGACACACCACAGCAAAACGGACGGGTTGAACGGAAACATCGCCATATCCTAAACGTTGCTCGGGCATGCCTCTTTCAAGCCAACCTCCCAGTTACATTTTGGGGTCAGAGTATTCTCACCGCCGCTCATCTCATAAATCGAACACCATCACGACTCCTAGGCGGAAAATCCCCATACGAGTTGCTCCATGGCTGTGCTCCGAGATATGACACCCTTAGGGTATTTGGATGCTTGTGCTTCGTACAGAAACGACCTAAGAATTCCGATAAGTTCGCCTCTCGAAGTCGCAGATGCTTGTTTGTTGGCTATCCTCACGGAAAGAGAGCCTGGAATGTCTATGATATTGAGAATAAAGAGTTCTTTACCAGTCGCGATGTTGTCTTCTTTGAAGATCAGTTTCCGGGACCACATAAACATCAACCACCAAGTTCAATTCCACCACCAGTACCAGCACCAGTTGATACCACCTCGATTGATGATTGGTCTCTACCACCTACGGTTTCAGAAACAGCTCCTCTCAATACTGTATCAGACACTTCTCCTCCTGCTTCACCTAAAACTACGACTCCTACCGCTACAACTCCTACGGATACCCCTGTCCCAACACGTACTCCTGAACCAGTACAAACTGATCCTACCCCTTCCCCTCCTATCACACTACCAACATCGCCTACTACTGCAAGTCCTGAGACATCACCACACCTCATCACGTTGCCATCATCTTCTACGTCTGATCAAATTGCGAACACCATTGAACCTTCTTCACCTGGTTTACCTGAGCTCTTGGGACGTGGTCATCGCCAACGCCAGCCTTCCGTTCTTCTAAAGAACTATGTCACCAATGCTGCTCAGAAGAATACACACACTCCTCTATCTTCTCCCGACTCTTCTCTTGGTTCCTCTATCTCGGTCTCAGGTAACACTTTTTATCCCATCTCAAACTACATCTCTGACCATGCATATTCTCCTGGCCACAAACCTTTCCTTGCAGCCATTACTACTACGGTTGATCCCAGGAATTATTCTGAGGCAGTACAGGATGAGGTTTGGCGCGACTCTATGGTCACTGAACATAATGCTCATGTAGAGAATGGGACGTGGGATGTCACGACACTTCCTCCTGGCAAGAAGCTGATCAGAAGTACATGGCTCTACAAAACAAAATACCTCTCCAATGGACAGATACTGTGTAAAAAGTCCCGACTGGTAGCACAAGGCAATCGTCAAAGAGAGGGTCTCGACTACACAGATACCTTTGCACCTGTTGCCAAACCATCCACCATTCGGGTTCTTCTCGAAATAGCTGCAGCAAAACAATGGGAGGTACATCAGATGGATGTATCTAATGCCTTTCTACATGGAGATTTGAAAGAAGAAGTTTACATGAAACTTCCCTAAGGCTTTCAAGGATCTGACCCTACCAAGGTTGCTCGCTTACGCAAATCTATCTACGGTCTTAAACAGTCTCCGCGTTGCTGGTTTTCTAAACTCAGCGATGCTTTGAAGCAATACGGCTTCACTCAGAGTAAACCAGACTACTCTCACTTCTCATACATCCGCGGTAAAGTTAGTCTTCACATACTGATATATGTGGACGATTTTATCATAGCCTGCAACGATCTCTCTACTCTTCAAAAATTCAAGAACTATCTTTGTAAGTGTTTTAAGATGAAGGACCTGGGCAAATTGAAATACTTTCTGGGCATTGAGGTTGCTCGCAATAAAGAAGGTATGTTCATCTCTCAACGTAAATACGCTCTTGACATCGTCGCTGAAGCTGGTCTTCTTGCTTGTAAGCCATCTCCAACTCCTATCGAGCTAAATCATAAACTGGCTCTTTCGACGAGTGAACCAATCGCAGATCCAGCACCATACCGACGTCTTGTGGGCAGACTAATTTATCTGACTTTCACAAGACCAGAGCTGTGTTATGCCGTTCATATCCTGTCCCAGTTCATGAAGGCACCTCAAAAAGATCACTGGGATGCAGCTCAGCGAGTTATCCGTTACCTTAAGGGCTGTCCATCGCAAGGAGTCATGCTGCGATCTGATTCTAGCCTGCGTGTTACTGCATTATGTGACGCTGACTGGAGTTCTTGTCCCGTCACTCGCCGATCTTTAAGCTCCTACATTGTTTTATTGGGTTCATCACCGGTGTCCTGGAAGACAAAGAAACAAAACACGGTATCTGCGTCATCTGCAGAAGCTGAGTATCGCGCGATGGCGTTTACGTTGCATGAATTGAAATGGATCAAACGGATCCTCGCCTCGTTTGGAGTTCAGCACGACGAACCGATGAAAATGTTTTGTGACAGTCAATCTGCCATTTACATTGCTAAAAATCCTTTGTTTCATGAGCGTACGAAACACATAGAGAACGATTGTCATCAGGTTCGGGATGCTGTCCAAGACAAACTTATTTCGATGGAGCATATACGTACGAAAGAGCAACCTGCGGACCTACTTACTAAGTCACTCCCGTCTCCTACATTCAGTTATCTCCTCTCCAAGTTGGGGATTCAAGAAGTTTCATCGCCCACTTGAGGGGGGGGGGGTATAGAGATACGGAATATATTTAGAGATAATGTTAAACTTCCATATTGTGATGATCGTATATACGTAGTAATATGGAAACAATATGTTGTATATATATGTGGCCATGAGCCTTAATACAAGTGACGCTTTCATATTATTTTAAAAAAGCATTTCTGGAATGCCATCCGTGATTCATGCAAGCGATGATCGGACTTTAAGATTGCTCGAAGTTTTCTCTCTCAAAAACCCTTCCACTTGAGACGGCTTCTGCTACTTGCATGGCAATCGA